CACACGTGTCTGCAGCAACAGAGAGGAAAAAGGAGGAGAGGGTTCTCAACCCCAAAGCGTATGGCCAGCAAGAGTAAGTGTCTCAGCTGACAGCCTTGGCCTTGCAAATCTGAGTCCATGGTGGCAAAGCCCCAAAGGAAGCCTTACTGCACACATGCAGATTCACCCAAGCTGGGAGCTGCTGCTCTCTGTCACTTGACTGAGCTCTGCACAGAAGCAGCCAGGGCGCCTCTTTGCTTCACCCACACAGAAAGAAGTTGGGAATAACCCACCATCCCAGGCGGGTGCCAGCAGTTAGCTGGCTGGGGACAGAAAATGCACTACACAGCAGAGCATCTTCACTCCTGCCCCGCACAGGGAACCTGAGGGGCTCCACACAGGAGCCCACACTCAAGCGGCTTCCCGGGCACGGGCAGTGCGCACGCGCTGCGGTCCATCCTCACCTGCACTACCTCCTCCCTGCAGTCAGCAGAAGGGGCTGGGGGGTCACCCCCGCAGCCTCCCAGGAGCGGAAGCCGCCGTTACCACCCTCGCCGTTAACGGCATTAACGAGCAAGGGGAGGGAAGGGCTCCCCCTGACTCCGCCGCAACTCCCTACTTCCGGGTCGCACACCGCTACGGCAGGCGGCGAGGCCCAAACTCCCTCGCGAGAGCGCGCGCACATCGCCACCCCGGGCACGGCGCCGCGCAGCCCCTCCGCGGGCGCCCCCCCCCCCCGACACCCCCCACACCCCCCGGCACCCCCAGGGGCTTTCTCAGGAAAAGATTTGAGATTTTCACCGTACTCTGCCTCAAAGCCTGGAGCCCAACACAGGACTCCTGCCAGGGTGGAAGAACAGCCAGAACAGAGTGGCCACATTGGATCTGGGGTACAGTTGCTGCYGCAAACCCCAAAAGGAGACAGAGGAGACCCAAAACCTTATTCGAATAAAGGGAGAGTCCACCGGGCATATACCTGTGGGGTCTCTMAAGTTGCTGGAGGTCGCAGCCCCCCTTTTGTCCTAATTTCCCAGCCGAGGTGGCCCTCTSCTTTTCCCCATTGGCCAAGGGACTCAGGAGTTACAACCTTCCCGGCCCACCTACACCCAACTCCGTGCCTCCCTCCATGTGTTTGCACCTCGGGTCATCTGGCTCCTGTGTCCCCCTCACTCCAGGCTCTGCTCAGTCTCCCACCTGCCCGTGTTCCTTTGGCTCATCAGCCAGAGAAGGGGGAACAATTTCCTCCTTCCTTTGTGAAGATACAAATTTACAAACTTGTGATGTGTGTTTTCTGCTCAAGCCCAAACTTTTTGTGTTTTCCGCTCAATCCCTCCTTTTTTTTTTTCTTTTTTTTTTTTTTTCTCCAGGATATATTTTGTATTTACAGACCTCTACATTCATACACTCATCATCTTTGGAAGCATAGTGGACTCCGTATAGGTTATTAACTAACCATCTGGGCTCAATATGTCTGGCCACCCCTCCTGGATTCCCACAGACCTAACATTTATTTTCCTGACGTGCTCCCAAGCAGCGGTACAGATCTACAGAGAGTTAGCTGGAGTTTTCCATCCTGTTCTTTCAACTGAGAAGTGCAGATTTCCGGAGTCTTGGAAATCTTAACTCTGGTGATGAGTCCATCCATGCTCAGCTGTCTTGATTGATGTTGCTGCGATTAGTAACCCCTGTTAAGGTCCATGCCACTTTGCTAGCTGTGGTGCTTCTTTCCATTCTTTGACCAAGACCCAATCCCCTGGTTGGATGTTATGGACTGCAAAATCCAAGGGGAAGGTCTGTGTGAGCTGGGCTTCCTGTCGGAGAGACTTCACAAGAGAAAGTATTCTAGCCACATATTGCTTTAAATATATATCACTTATCTCCACCTTCCTACCAGGTTGGGTGTTAACGGGGTAGGGAATCCCAAACATCATTTCAAAAGAGGAACAGCTAAATGTCTCCCCTAGGTTTTATTCTTATTCTTGCCAAAGCTAATGGTAGAAGTTGTGTCCATAGCATCTCAAGTTTCTAACACCATTTTCAAAAGATGCCTTTTAATGTTCCCATTCATCCTTTCCATTTTACCAGAGCTCTGGGGATGCCAAGGGGTATGCAAGTCCCATTGAATTCCCAGGGCAGTCCTGACACCTTGAAGGATCATTCCCGTAAAATAAGTGCCTCCGCCTGAATCTATTGCCTCTGCCACCCCATATCTAGGAATTATTTATTCTAAGAACACCTTAATTACAGACTCAGTTGTTGCTGAGGGAGTCGGAAATGCCCTGGTCTGCCCTGTTAGCTGACGTACTATTACCGGAAGATGCTTAAGCCACCCTATGTGGGGCATCTCAGTAAAGTCTACTTGGTGTCGTTGGAACAGGTACGCAGCCCGGGGTCGTCCTCCCCGCATAACTTCTCTTGCAGCTCAGCCATTGGCCTTAGCACAAATCAGACAGCCCTCAATAGCCTGTTTCGCCTGAACAAAAAGACCAAGGGCAGCACAGATTTTRAGGAAGGCTTCCACCAGTCCTCTAGAGCCCCAGTGGCTTCATCTTCATGTACTGATGCTGTTCCTCAGTGAGTTAATAAGCCTCTTCCTTCCCACAGTTTTCCAAACATATGTACCACCCCATATGCATATTTAAAATCTTTCAAGATATTCATTACCTTGCCTTGGCATAATTCACAGACCCTTATTAGAGAATACATTTCTTCAGTTTAGGCTGACCGGGTAGACAGTAGCTTTCCTCCTTCTAGCAGCTCCATTCCTTTAATGACAGCATATCTTGTGGCTCTCTTCCCTTCTATTACTCATGAAGATCCATGAATATTTAAATGCATTGTCCCCATCTGACCAAAGGATACCTCTCAAATCTTTCCTAGCCCGAGTCTGGAGATCTTGGATTCTTCTCCCTCGGGGCCATTCAGGCAAGAAGCTGGGTTAAACCATCCCTTCTGCTTCTTAATTTTAAATCTTCTCATCCATTTAGAAACCCTTTTGGTTAGTAATGCTTCRCCATGGTGTGGGACCTTGACAACAAGGGATCCTCCTATGTTCAGTTTTGGCTTCAATTACCATTAGGGCCGTAGCTGCACAATTCCACAGACAGTAAGGCATCTCCTTAGCCACTAGGTCTATCATTCTAGAAAAACAAGCTCCTGGTCTTTGCATTCCTCCGTGCTCTTGCACTAAAATTCTCTTGGCATAGCCCTGCTTGACATCTACATATAATTCTTTTTTTTTTTTCCTCTGGATATGGAAGAGCTAAAGCCAGAGCCTTGTCAGTTTATCTTTTGATTTTCTAAAGCTCTGCTCCCCTTCTCGTGTCCATACCACAACATTGGGGCTGCTCTGGGCCAAAAAGTCACACAGTGGTCCAGCCAAAGCAGAGAAGTTTTCAACTCAGGCTCTGCAGCATCCTGCTAGCCCCAGGAACTGTCATCTCTCTTAGTGCTGGGCAATGGCACTTCCAAAATTCCTTGAATTCTTTCTGAGTCAAGGCATTGCAAACCTCCAGTCAAAATATGCCCCAAACCATCTGTGTCTTGCCCTCAGACACCCAACACCCTTTTTGGGTGGCAACTTCACAGTGGCTTCCTCCACCACCCTCTCTTGTTCCCCCGATAGGAGCAAGTCATCCACATACTGCAATAACTTAAATCCCAYGGGAGCGAAATTCCTCCAGTATTTTCTGCAAGGCTTGTCCAGATAGGACCAGTGCCTCGGTGTGTCCTTGTGGGAGGACTGTCCCTGTCAATTGTTGTTTTATCATAGCAGGTTGTAACACTTTCCCTCTCCTGAAATTGGATACTGATTTTTAGAGACTACCAGGCCTGGTTGCTTTAAAGTTATTTGGAGAGGTTCTATGTCTAGTTTTCCATATTTTCCTGGGAATGCTCACACTTCTGAGTTCACGTAAGCATACGTTTTATAAGGCATTTTGCACAAAATTACAATAGTTTCAGCTTATTTATCATCCCTTACAATATCAATTTGCATTCCCAATTTAGCCATCGAATCATTTCCCAGCAGATTGCAATCACAATCTGGGACAAAAAGAAAATCATACATATCAAATTTATTACTCATATCTGCATTTCTTAGATATTCATCTTTTTTTTYCCCACCCCTATAGGATCATCTAAATAAAGGAGCAGTTCTTTCTTTAATCCCCCTATATCTTGAGTGGTCAAGGGCACAACCACAAATCCAAACCTCACTGCATCCTGACCTCCCAGTGGAACCTGTCAYAAAGACATTTGCAGAACTTTTGTCTGAGCTTGAGGGGCTTTTAGCAACTCATACTGGGCTCCACTTTCYTGTTTCCAAAGGGGACAAAATGTCCCGTACTATCGCCAGAAGCAGGAGGTGCAGAAAGGGCAGGAGCTGTGGCTCCCCAGGAGTCTTTATGACAAGAAGGGGCAGGCACTGCAGGACATCCCACACGTCCCCACCTGTTCTCCCCTCCCCCTCCTCAGACCCCCGTTCTCCTTTTTCTCTTSTCCCTTTTGTTACATAGATTCCTCTAGATGTTGCCCTTGCACAATCTCTCTCTTCCGCTCTGACAAGGGATGAAAGCCTTTTCAGTATCACGGAGATACAGGCACAAAACGTAAAAAAAGACTAGGGTTGTCATCTGACCCTACAGGGGACCACCTAAATCCCCTTGGTAATTTATATTCTGGACAAAAAAAAAAATAATATTTCATCATTGTTTCCTTGATTACTTCTGAGGGAATGCACACTTATCCCAAACCGTCAACACTCTGCCCAAGGTACTATATGGGGATAAGTCGGGGTTGTCATCCTTTTTTTTTTTTTTTTTTTTTTTTTCTTTTTTTTTTTTTTTTTCCCCAAAATTCTCTTTTGACTTTCCTTTGCTGCCCTCCATAGGCACCTTTCTCAGGGTCATCACCCCTTTTGTTCCCCATTGTCCCATAGTACTCACCAGTGAGATTTCAGCAGTCCTTTCCATCGGACCCAGTCCTTTCCATTGGACTTAGCACGGCCTAGTAGTCCTTTCCATCGGACCAAGTCTGTTCTGTTGGACTTAGTGCTACTTGCTGGTCCTTTCCGTCAGACCAAGTCCTTTCCATTGGACTTAGCACTACTTAAGGGTCCCTTCCCTCGGACCGAGCCCTTTCCGMGGGACTTAGCACTACCTCACGGTCCTTTCCATCGGACCTGATACTTTCTGTTGCACTGAGACCTTTCCATTGGGCTTAGCACTAACTCGTGGTCCTTTCCATCGCACCTAATCCTGTCCGTCAGACTACTTAGGACTTCTCCAGTTCTACCTGCGGATCCCCCTGATCTGCTGCTCATCTGTCTCTGGACAGTCTCGGGAACCCAATCAGTCCTCCAGTGCCGGCTGCCATTGAAGGGAGTTGATCACCAAAAGCTTTGGTGAGGTGCGCTGTCAACTCCGATCGCCATCTCCTGTCCCCAAAAGGTGGAAGGACCCCAGATGAGCCCCCAGTTGTGCGGAAAAACCTCACTGTCGAGAACTGAATGCCCAAAAAGGAGACAGAGGAGACCTAAAACTTTATTATTCGAATAAAGGGAGAGTCCACTGGGCATATCCCTGTGGGGTCTCTCAAGTTGCTGGAGGACGCAGCCCCTTTTTATCCTGATGTCCTGACCGAGGCGGCCTTCGCCTTTTCCCCATTGGCCATGGGGCTCAGGAGTTACAACCTTCCCGGCCCACCTACACCCAACTCCCTGTGTTCCTCCATGTGTTTGCACCTCCTTTGTCCCCCTCACTCCAGGCTCCTCTCAGTCTCTACCCCCCCACTCCAGGCTCTGCTCAGTCTCCCACCTGCCCGTGTTCCTTTGTCCTGCTCATCAGCCAGAGAAGGGGGAGCAATTTCCTCCCTCCTTTTTAAAGATACAAACTTACAAACTTGTGTGTGTGTTTTCTGCTCATCTTCATTAACGAAGCCCCTTTTTAGGCTTGCCAACATCAAACCCCAAGATGAAACCACACCTGGACAAAACAAGCTACCAACATGAATGTGATCTTCGCCTGTGTGGAGTGCCAGAGAATCGCAAAGAGACGCTCTTGGATGCGGTGCAATAATTCCAAGCCAGTGCTCAGATGCTCTGCTTTCAGGAGCTGCAGAGAGGAGGCCAGATCCTGACTCTGCAGCAGTGTTTCCTCTGAAATTCAAGGACAGCAAAGTCATACCCCTCCTCACGCTCATAAGCGGAAACCAAGTCCCTTAGCTCTGACTACAAAGCCCGAGTCACAACTATTTAGGTTCCTTGCGCACATATTCCGTTCAGGAGGGATCACGTTGAAGACCCTCCTTTCGGCATAAAATCACTGCCTGAAGCCAAATTGCTGCAGTGGACTCCCCAGAAATGACACCATGGAGCCAGGTATAGGCCAGAAGACATGAGCTACTCAGTGTTCATGTGCATCCTGTTGCCTCACTACAGTTACCCCACCTCTTCAACCAGACAGGAGGGACTGTCAGCTTCTACACAGAGAGGCTGTGGCTCTTACCCAGTAGGATCTGCAGAGTATTGGTGTGCAGCTCCAAGCTCTCAATCTGCTCTTCCATGATGTCCACCCTCTCGGTGTCCTGGCTGTAGTAGCTGTACACACAGGAGTAGGCCAACACCTGAAGCAGCGCAGAAGACACTCTAAGCATCCTCTTTCAGCTTTTGAGTGGGCAAGGGAAGTAGCTGAGAGCAGCATCAAAAGAATTTAGGGAGCATCAGTGACTGAGAGAAGCCTGGTCTATGGCAGTTTGAGGAAGTGACAACACTCTACTATCACATACGACTCCTGAAGCCCTCCAAGCCCACAGCAGGAACACAACCAACTGCTTCTATTTAAGGAAATGACTCCAGGAATGCCACCAGGAGCAGCAAGCAAAGGTGATGTGCATCCTGGCAAAGGCAGGTGCTACCCTAATGAGAAGACGAAAGAGGGTCAGCCACCCCCAATCCATGTAGTGTGCATCTCTCCCAACATCAAACCTGCCCACACAAGCAAGATGTGCATTACAAAGGTGCATCCTCCTGCCTCCTTCTATGTTTTGAGAGGCAGCAAGATGTTGCAGGGCTATCCTGGCCCAGGCTTACTGCATGCACCAAGTGGCTGCACAGCTAATCATTCATAATGGGAAACCAGGGAAAGGATTTAAGGAGGAGAAGCACTATGGCTAGACCTTGCAACTGCGTCTACTACTTTTGGGACCTGCAGCTAATTCATTAACTGCCCACAAGAAAACTGCAGTGACTTAAGATTGCTCTTTCAATCCTTTTCTGCATCATCAAGGATGGAGAGTCCACAAATTCTCTTGGGTATCTTACCCCAATGTTTGATGGCACTTACAGTAAAAGACAAGATTTCCCTTTTTAGATGCTCAATTTCTTATATTTCARTTTGTGCCTGTGTCACTCTGYGCCTYGGTAAGATGCACGTGGCTGCCAGATCTCACCACTGCCACCTCTTCTTGTTAGGGAGTGGTGTCTGTTGTTACYCTCTTGACAGGGGACACGATCTTTTCTGCTCAGACACCAATACCCAGAGAAACAAATCAATCTGACTCAGCAGACACTGACAAACCACTAGAACTTTCACAGCAGGTGACCAAATTTCACAGCCYCTAATGTCTAGATGTTTTATTTAATCCTGTTTTTATGGTAGTTTGAAGGAGTTCAAGCGAAGACCCAGGTGCTGAGAGGGACCTACGGCTCCTATTGAARCTATGACAGGAAGCCTAAAAGGGAAGGGACCAAGTGTCTAGCAAAGGTCTGGGAAGAAACCCAGAAGGTTCAATCAAGAAGTCGCCTGGTTCCACACCAACACCAACAAAAAGATCTTTGAGGAAACYGCACAGACTGGGCTGAATCCAGGTGGGAGACCATGGCATGACTCCCAGCAAGGAATCCCTGGCTGGAGAATGGGAGAAGACATCCAAAAGAATAGGCTCATAAGGAACTTGAGAGAAGAGAAACAAAGTAGAGACTAAACCTCAGCAACCTTTCAGGAATAGCATTCTCGAGGCTCAGAGAAACACTTAGATGCACTAGCACTATGCTCCTTTGTTGATGTTACGCTTTCTTGGATATCTGCTATTAAGGATGGCCAGAGACTGCAAATACTGCTGGGCAGAGGCCCAGTCTCCTCCAATTCTCACACTGCCTTTTATAGCAATGGGAAGGGGAAAGCGACCGAGAGGCGCTGTTGGTTCAGCTGCAACGTAAACTAAGACCTGGGGCCTCCCCTGCTGGCACCGTAGGTAACCCTGGTTCAGCAGGTGCAGGACAGCACGTCCACACTGTGGCAGCAGAAGCTCAGAAACTGCAGGCCAGGGCCCAAGCCGCCCTTCTGACAGGCATCCATCACCTGCAGCGGTGACAGAGCCTGCTTTACGCTGCCGCGCAGCGCCCCTGCGCCAGCAGACGGTCCCCCAGGTAGTACCTGCCACAGCCACCAACATCAGCACAGCGCCGGCCTCAGCCCCGCTCCAGCCCCACAGCCTCAGCCACCCACCAGCTGCCAGCGCTGGCCTGGCCGCCCTCGAGCCACACGCACACACGGGCCCCTCACCGGTAGAAGTGCTCAAAGGAATGGCTGAGCTCCAGGCCACAGAGGATGACAAAGGGCTCCAGGAGCCGCTGCAACGACCCCGTGCTGCCCGTGATCCCGCGCAGCTCCCGCACCTGCCCGTCCAGATAGCSGGCAAAGCGCTCGCTCACCTGCAAAGGGACAGGGACGGCTGAGGAGGGGCCCCCATGACACGACTGGGCAGGGGCCGCAGCCCTGAGCTGCGACAGAGCTGGGGACCCCCTACACCCTGCACAGGGGCTGCTGTTGGGGACCCTTTCCACTCCCTGCGCAGGGGCCTGGGGTGTCCCCAACAGCAGCAGCCCCACACAGGGGTTGTGTCCCCAGCAGCAGCAGCCCCGCACAGGGGTTGTGTCCCCAACAGCAGCAGCCCCTGTGCAGGGGTTGTGTCCCCAACAGCAGCAGCCCCGCACAGGGGTTGTGTCCCCAACAGCAGCCCCAGTGCAGGCAGGCGCCGGGCCCGGGGCAGGCAGCAGCCAGCACTGACGGCACCGAGGGCTGCAGCGGGGCTCCCAGCGCAGGCGGCTGCCCTGAGGCGGGGATGATGGAGGCAGCCTGAAGCCCCTCAGGGATGCAGGCCCAGAGAGCTGCCGCAGCCCAGCCTGGGCAGGGCTCCGTGCGAGGGCCAGGCTCCCCGGCCCTGCTCAGACTCACGTGCAGGGCAGCCGGGAAGGAAAGGTGCAGCAAGGCACCCGCAAAGCCCTGCGCCAGGGCCAGCGCAAAGGCAGCCTGCTGCCCGAAGAGCTCTGCTGTGGCCCTGTGCAGGCGCCAGTACAGCCCGCAGTATCTCTCCACGACATCCGGTGCCCGCCACGCCACGTCGAGGAACCGCTGCACCTGTGGGGCATGGGGAAGAGGTGTGAGCCTGTAGCGGGGAGCTCCTGGGCCTGGCCCACGACTGCAGAGGCTGACGCGGGCAGAGAGCAGCCCCAGCAGCCGCTGCGCAGCCAGCAGAACCTGCTGCCAGATGCCCAGGAGCTGCTCACCTCCTGCTCGTTGCTGTGGGCACTCCGGGAGGACAGACAGGGCTCAACGCACTCATGCCACGGCAGCACGTCCTCCTGGTACCCGTCCAGAAACTTGTTCAGGATCCTGCAGGAGGGAGGAGGTCACTGAGGCAGCAGACACAGGCAGAGGAAGCCCCGGCCCCTGCTCCCCCAAGGCGGCTGGCACCTCATGGAGGTGGAAAAGGGGCTGCCCTCAGTGGCTCCCCACTCACTGCGCTGCCCTGCCATTGCTGCACCCCCAGCAGCGCCGGCATRTGCTGCAGAGCCCCAGGCTCTGYGACAYCCRCACCAGCCYGTGGAGCTGCCTCGGGACCCACCTGAGCACGCTGAGGCTCGCGGCCCTCTCTGCGGCCAGCAGCCGGAGACTGCGCAGCAGCAGCGCGAAGCACTCGCGGTCCTGCAGCAGCGCGGCCATCTGGCCCGTGGGGACACGGCCCTGGCAGCAGAGCTGCCTCTCCAGGGCCACCAGAGCCTCCCTGCAGAGATCGCCCTGCCCCAGGCTGCCCATCAGCATTCGCACATCCATGTCTCCCAGCTCCAGCACCAACTCATCATTGGCCAGGGCATGCAGATCTAAACTGTGGGCCAGAACCAGGTTGTGCTCTGCTGTCCAAGGGCAGGACGGTCACCTGGGGGCAGGCAGAAGCCCTCCATGTGGCAGGTACCATGCTTCTCACCTTCAAGCACGTTCCCTCCTCCAAACCCACGCCACAGGGTTCCTCCAGTGCAGCACTGCACAGTGGACTGCGTCCTGCTCTGTGTCATCATCTGCGACACAGGCTGGTCCCTTATGCTTCAGAGTCTCCCATCCATGCCCCACTGCTGGTTTGGATTTCTCCATGCCCACACCATCCTCTGGCAATCAACCCTGTTCCTTCATTTTTACAAAAAGACAAGAACCCGTATCTGTGCACAAAATGATAACATTTATTGAAAGAGTATTTTTTTTTTAATACAAAAGAAAGCTCTGTACATAGTACTGTGATTACTTCCACATCCTTCCAGAAACACAACCCTGGAAACTGGAAAAAATACCCCCCTACACACAAACATACATTGATATGCACACACACTCACTCATGCACACACGCACACAATCCCCAAACCAGTAAAATGAACTAAAAATGTTACCACACAATAAATGTAATTTCGTCCCTGATAAACAAGTGTTCTTACAAGTCTGCACTTAAATAAAATACACCATTAGCGTTTAACCAGCAGTTACCTTTTGGGAGCCAGAGGGGAGAGACCGCACAACATCACATAACAGCAGGGCTGCCCCTGCCATTCCGGCCCAGCAGCCCTACTCCACTGTGCTAGCAAAGGCAAAGCAAAGTTAGGTCATCTCAATCTGCTGATAGAAAGTATAGCACAAACTCAAATCCTGTTTTCTCCCTGGGTAAACTCCTACGTAGCCACCTCCTGCCTTTTTGTTTGTTTTCCTCCCCTCTTCTCCTCTCTCTGTCTCTCCTTTGGAGGTGTCATTGAGCAGCTCCCATGCAGCTCAGACCGGCTTGGGGCATCACACAGCAAGCCCTTGSTCCCCGCTGCAGGACACGAGGCATGAGTAAGGACGTGAGCAACGCTATAAAAGGGAGGCAGCACATGGTGTCATCATCACTGGTCAGGCCACATGGCAGCCCAAGGCTCACGGACTATTCTGGAAACTGCCTTGGCATGGGGCACTAGGAAAGGCCTTGTCCTTTTATGAAAGAATAGCCCCAGCAGGAGAGGTTACCTGCATGAGGAGCATACAGGGAATAGGGATCAGCCCCACAGAGCCCAGAGAGAAGCAGGGGTGCCCACAGCCCCATAGGCAGCTGTGAACAACACTGCTGCAGACCGGAACATGCAACATTCCCCAAGACGGGGACGGATGGGGCCACCAGGCACTCTGCGAGCCCCTCATTCTAAAAAGAGCAGGCTACCTGCTTCAGCTTCACTCACCTCCCACCCATTCATCCTGACGTCTCAGGTATGTGTACGAGCCCTCAGCACAGGGAAGAGGAAAGCAAACATCTACCTCGGTCCCTGGCACATGCTGGTGGGCAGAGAGCGCAGCTTAAACGCTAATGCTGAAGGAACATTATTCAAGGTTACAATACAAACTCAAAAACAAGGCCCTTTCCTGTCTCCACACCCGCCCACCCACCCCTCTCCCCTCCCAACAGTACAAACCCCATGAAAACTGTACAGGAGCCAAACTTTTATTCCTTAAAGAATTACATAAATACTGAGTTTAACACTTAGAAAAATAAAGTCTTTTTTTTTTTCAAGGCTTCTTTTGTCTTTAACTTAAAAAAAAGTTACAGTAGCTGCTCTTTCCCCTAAGGATTCAGCAGCTTCTCTCACTTGATCACTCTCCCTCCAGGGACAGGGCTAGGTAGCAGAGCCACTTGCAGCAACTTCCCTGTTGGAGCAGGCACGCTCCCATCCCTCTTCCCCTAGCCCTGCCGTGCTGTGCCTACCCAAGGTGTTGCAACTGCCCCTCCACAGCCCCGGAAGGCCAGCGGCCCCCGCAGTGACCAGAGGAAGCACTGCCACCTTCCCAGCGGCTTGGTGCCCCGTGGGCTCTTCTTTATGACACTTGGGTTGCTTCTCCACCTTTTATCAGACGGAAATTTAGGAAGCGCTGGCCAGAACTGCAGGGGAATGCGGGTGATGCTCAGATGCATCCCCCCCCGCCAGATATAACGTAGACTACGCTGCTCGCAGTGTGGGTCAAGACAAGAGCGTGGGGCTGGGCTGGCTGCAGAGTGCAACCAAAGGTCTCTGGGGAATCCTCGTGGTACTGGGCACCGCTCTGGCGGTGCAAGGACGGCAGAGCGGTTGGCTGTGCCCCTGCTGGGCAGCCCACCAAGGAGGCACCGAGGGCTGAGGCTCGCTGTAGTGCATACAAGGGCAATGAGGCCCCAGGCTGCAGGTAGCACCTGCCTGAGGAGCCCCCCACCTCTGTCCAGGGGGAGCACGCACGGGCTGAGCCTGCCATGCACAGCAGAGCTGAGCACCCTTTCCCAAATGAGCTGCTGCAGCCAGGACRTGTCACCCCTCCCAAAGGCACATTGCTGAGGCCAGCAGCACAGCCTTAGCCCATGCCACTTTGGGCTGCAGCCTGCGGGACAGACATGGGCCCGAGGCAACTTGGAGCATCCTGAAGGATGCCAAAGACTCCAAGTGGGAATGGCCCGCGGGATTTATTTACAGCGCAGAGCACGCCCTACTCATGAGGGACAAGTTTCTTTGGCTGGCGTGAGACTAGCGCGGCTATCGCAGCATCCAGACGCCCCCCCAAGCCTGGCCCCAGCACGGCTCCACCCTTGGTGTGGGTCCAGCAGCCCCACACATGTGGCCCATGTGTTTGGGGAGGGCTGGGGGATGTGTGCGTGCGTGTGTGTGTGCATGTGTAGGTGAAGGAAACGTGAAAAGGCAACAATAAATAACTGGTGCAGTCTGTACGAGAAGAAATTGCTGCTGGCACCGGTGTGACAGGCCAGGGACAGCACAAGGCCAGCAGCAGAGGCCTCACTCACTCTTGGTGCCATGTGAGGTGTCCAAGTTGACCACCTGCAGCTCCGTCAGGCTACTGCCACTGCTGCTCTGCTGCCCGATGACAGCCATCTAGGGAAGAGAAGGGAGGAAGGAACACTGAGGCTGACATGCCCTCCGGCCACGCACACAAGCAGCCAGGGTGGCATTGTCCCTCCAGGCACCCCGTTGAGGAGGGAGAATTGAGGTGGCAGCAGGCAGCATTCCCACATCTCAGAGACCTTAGGACCTGCCCAACCCAGGTGCCCAGGTCTGGGAAGGATGTGCAAGCCGGGAGAGAGCAGGGTCAACATTGCTCTGYATGGGGAACAAGGACACCCCTCTCAACATCCACAAGCAGCGCTCTGCACCTACCTGGTGAAGCTGCACAGCTGAGACTGGGATCTGAACAGTGCCTGAGGGAGCCGTCAGGAACACCTGGGGAACGCCACCTGCTATGGACAGACCAAAACAAGAATCACACTGTCCTTTAAGTAGTGCTCCCCTATGTGGCCTTTACTGAGCCTTTCCCCCGAGCTCTGTGAAGCTTCACAAGGGGGAAGGTGCCTGTTTGCATACACTAAAGCATCCCAGTTGAAAGCCACATGCACCATTTTTCCAAATGCTGACATAAAGAGGCTCAAGTCCCCAGTGCAATTGTCACCTGCATGGCCTCATTATGCTTCATCACATCACACAATTCACATCCTTTCCAGAACAGCYAGTATGGCTGCTTCCAGCTCCTTCCTGCTGCCAGCCCTCCATTACACCCACCCACCGTGGCCACCCTCACATCTTCATAGGCAAACAGCTCAAGCAATCCCTTGCACAGGAGAAGGGCAGGGGATCTAAAAGAACATCTCAAGCATCACCCTTGCCATGCCTTGCTAGGACCACTTCGCCGAAAACCCCTGGCAATAAACATGTAACATTTCTATACATAGGGGAGCATCACTCCACAGAGCTTACCCTGATCCTGGCTGTGGGACACCTGCATGGCTGAGGGCGCCTGCGAGAAAGCGTTGAGGACTGCAAGCCCACCATCCGCAAGGCCAGACGTGGGCGCGTACATCACCGCGTGTGGACTGGGGTACATCATGTGACCACCCACCGTGGTTGGCACGGACGACGTCATGATGGTTGCTGGGAGGGTCACTGACACCAAGACACGTTGTAAGCCACAGGAAAGGAATGCTCCACGTGCACATCCACTCAGMATCCCTCCCTCAGCTACTACATGCCCCCAAGGCCAGCTCCAAGACACCTTTTGGCACTGTGCTCTGGGGAGCAGAGACACCAGTCTTGTTCTCCCAAGCTCCTAGGGAAAACCCCAGGCAAAAGGCARGTAGGAGAGCTCAAATCTCATCCTGTGTCAGTGAGGATGAGAGGAAGAAAAAGCACAGTAGCCAAATARCCTAGAATCTAATTCAAACCATAACATGCATCTCCTAACAAGGCTTTAATAAAGCTGTGGAAYCAGGTTCAGCTCCCACTTAGGCTTTGCTAAGAGGAGCTGTCCCCTGCACATGAAGTTATAATCTCAAGCAGCTTAGCCCTAAGAAACAGGGAACCCACAGGAACTGGGCAGACTAGAGCAACTTGTACTACTGCTCTCCAGACACATGCTGCAAATAAGAGCAGGTGACAGATATGGAGAACTCCAGCAACCCCATATGAAGCATCCTATCTACAGCAACATCTGTCTAGGTGTAGCATTCCCAGGGGCAACAGGAATATTGTGTTTCCAGGTACATTAATTTCAGGATAAACACCACCAAGAAAGCTGTCAGAAAGGTTGGACAGAATAGGGCTGAGAAGAAGGGTGGGCAGGCAGCAGACACAAGGTCGATGGTCCACACGAGGCTGCTACCAGCAGCAGTCAGGAAAGAAGATAGAAGGAAGCGATTGCAAAGCACTGATTACCTGTTCCGCTAGAAGAGGTCTGAGTAAGATCAGTGCTGCTGTCACTGGAAGGGGACATCTGCTGCGGTGCCTGGTGCACCTGTATCGCTTGGACTGGGACCTGCTGAGCCATAGTACCACCTGGGGAGAGAAAGCAGCCCTTGAGCCCGCATATCAAGGCAGGTGCTCTGGGCTTCTGCATGGGCCCTTTACACCTCCCCAGTCCCAAACAAGCCACTGTAGCTTGCACTGGGGAAGGGCAGTCAAGGGCAGCACRTGTCAGAAATAAGGCTCTGCCCTCAAAAGCTCCCCTTTGCTGGCACACAGGAGCCAAGGAGGGGCTGGCTATCCTTCAGGCCTCCTCCTTGGAAAGGCAACTGCAGTGTTTCATCAACTCCCAGGAATGATTCTGGCATATACAGACCTCCCCATCTTTGCCAGACTCGCCAGGGCACAGCACAGAAGACCTTGGCATGCCAGAAGGTGATGAGAGGCACGGGCCTCCAGTGCCAAGCAGAACAGAACTTTGTTAGCCAGCAAAGATCAGGCAGGAGTGTCACAAAAACTGCAAGAGCATAAATGCCCAGGCCAGTAGGGCCCTACAACTTCCACACTCAGGTTCTGTCTCCAGAGAGAAGAACAAGGTACACAGGAGAGCAGAGACAAGGACACCTCACCCAGGGTGGGCATTTGCCCACACACCAGAGAAAAAATTCATGATCCTCACAGCTCCCAAGGACTGCAATGGAAACGCAGCCCCTGTTGTGCAGGGCCGCGCTGTCCACTTGCTTCTTTAAGGACTTTGGGAAAGCACACAGGAGATTCATTGCCTCAAGTAAAAAGAGTTAGGACATGAGAAACAGCGCCTCGTGGTACACACGTCACAGCTTCCCCCACAAACAGGAGTCTAGCACCGTGGTCTGAATCTGCGACTGGGAATACACCATGCCCTAGCACAACATTCAGATGATCTCGTCTTTGCACGACAAGGAATTCCTATAGAGGATAACGCACACACAGGACAGCACAACAMCACCTTCCCTTCCAGCGCTCTGGGTCTCTCCTGACCCATCTCCTGCACTGTGGTTCATTGACTGACCACAAATCTGTGTCCAACCACAAGGGCAGCTGCTCAGAGCCAAATGTCAGCACACAACCAATGTTCACAGAACATCTGAGCCCCCGTGGGCTCCCACTGTCACTTCTCCCAGTCATACAGCTCAACTGAGGGTATGGCTCCACCAACAAGCACATATCCTCAACCTTCAGAGCCAGGGTAAATCTTGGGGGCAGAAGATGGTCAACCTGCTGCTCCCCTTCATCTGCATCCTCTAGGAAGCTGTTCCTGCCTTCCCATCTCTCCCCCTAGCCCACAGCCCTGGTGTTCTCCTCCATACTTCTGTCTCTGCTGGGATCAGCTCTCTAGCCAGGGCCTGGCACCCTCCCCAGGGGCATTCCCATACCCCCACCTTAAGCAAGGGGATGAGAAGCGAGTGCTGACCTGTCAGCGACACGATCTGCCCTCCAGCTCTGGCAGGGAAGCGGAAGACTGTCTGCTGTGCCTGCTGCAGCTGTCCAGCCGTACCCGCAATCGCCTGGCCCTGCTGCTGACTGGAAAGAGCCAGGGAGTGCGGCTGTAACTGAGTGAGAGGAATGGTAGGGGTCCCCGGAGGAAGGGAAGCACCTGCCGAAAGGAGGGAGAAAGAAAGGCTTTGTCACCAGCAGCTCTTTTCACTCCCTCCCGGCTCCTTGGTGCTGCCCTGGGATCCCAGCTCAGCTCCCTGCCATCGTGCCACTCCCAGCAACAGGGCCAGCTAACACTCCCCTGCTAACAATTCCTACACCTCCTCCAAGCAAGAGGACCCAGCTTCACCCTACGGCAGCAGCCACTCTACCTCCACCAGCCGCTCGGTATCCTCTCCTGGGAAGGGCAGCAATGCCCTCTGTGTAGCATGATAGATGGACACAATCTTCAGCCTTGACACACACTGACCTGACATGAGGGTGAAGCCGGTTGGTATCTGCATGAGGCCCCCTGATGTCACTGCGCTGGCTCCAGTAGTCTTCAGCACTGTTCCATTGGCACTGGTGACAGCATTGGGGCTGAGGCTGGCAGATACAGGCGCCAGGTAATTAGTGATGGGAAACGAGGGGCCACTGCTGACCTGCATGGAGGTCGATGTGGTTGGGGCTGTCTGGATGGTGGATGTCGTCCCTGGCAGGTTGGTGACTGTGAATGCTGGCTTCAGCGTGTCCTATAGGATGAGACAAGATGGTGAGAAYTCAGCCCAGGCCCTTGGTCCACTCAACATCTGCCAACATGGCCAAGCCAGACTCTGTAGGTTGAAATTCATTCCCAAGCAATAGACATAGCTCACTGCAAACACACAGAACAGATAGGAGTCACTTGAGCAAACATGAAGAGACTGTGCCCAACAACATAAGCAAAGCTGGAGACAGCTCAGTGTCAATCTTGGATGCAAGCCCAGGGCTGCATGGGTCCCCTGAGAAACCTCCTTACAAGATATCATGGGACAGAGCAACCCTTTCCCTCCCCAGGCACCCAGGAGTCCCCTTGATCTGTCAGAAGGAACAGCTGCTTTTGGGTCCCAAGGAGGCAAGAGCAGCCCTTGCAGGAACAGGAGGCTCAAAGGCAAACACAAGGGCTCCTGTCAGGAAAACACAGCCACTTCCCTTAGAGCAGGAAACACATGGCTAAAAGCAAGCCAAGAACTGTCTCTTAAGGGCAACAGTGAGCCGCACATGGAAAGGGACTGAGCCAATCTCAAGCACCAAGGACACCAGCAAGGCCCAAAATGCAGCCCTGACATCTACTTTGGCAGGCTCCAGGCAAGGCCTCCAAACAGCTCCAAGAATGAAGGTAGAATGTGGATAAGAAATAGCACCTGGACCACCAGCAGGACCCAGGCACAATGCAAGTGCTTCCAAGGGATCTCACACATGAGTTACAACCAGCTACTGTCCCACAGTCATGCTGGGCCTAACATGCCCCCTTCCCTCACATCCTCTTTTGGATACTCAGGGTCCCCTGAGACCCCTCTCCCATCCCACTCAGCTAGCCTGCATTGCCAAGACACCGGTCCACCTTCCATCCATCATAGGAGCACAGGCGGCAAGGATCTGCCGTCCCCAGGCCTCAGCACAGCCGCCAGTGCGCCTGGGAAGGGTTAAGGCCACTGTGCTCCCACCCCTACCCGCTGCAGGCTGGTGGGCCCATCTCTCCCACGTGCTACGCCTTGTTCCCAGCTTGTCAAGCTGCCAGGAACGAGGAATTCACAGCTCAACGAACAGCTAAAAAAGGGAAGGCAGCCCATTTTGGACGGGGAGAGCCAATCCCGGGCACCCAGCYCTGCCCCAGGGAAGGAGGAGAGCAGAGCCCCCTCCACCTTGGCACCACAGTCCCCACAGTCTGAATTAGAAAAGGCATGTGATAAAGGAGCAAGGCAGACACACTTTCCATGAGCTCAACCGCATCCTCCCACTATCCTGCACAGACCATGGAGACTGCAAGAATCCTCCCCACCCAGGTGACAAGGTACCCAAGGCAGGACACACGTTTCCAGCTGGAAAAGCCAGGCATGCTCATCTGCACACTCTGCCCCACAGCTGAGCACTCCTGAGACAGAGTCCCCAGTCAGCCCTGCCTCTCTGTGTGCCCCCACACTACATCCTCCCAGGGAAGAAAGAGGCATCCCAAAAGATCCATGGGGACCCACTTTGGTGGATCACCAAGACTCCCTTCAGACATGACAGCAAACCCTAGCAGAGTCATGAAAGCAGAGCTGCTCAGGCAGGAGGCCACRGCAACAGGCTCCAGTAACTGTCTGCCCCACACTGCCGCAGGTTCCTCCCACCTCTGCCAAGTTCCTCTTGGACGGCCGTGATAGCTCTCAGGGGAATTAGAGCAGTTCACAGGGTCAGACTCCACTGCCTCTCCCCACAGCCAGCCTGGTACATCTAGGAGCCCTGAACACCAAGCCAAGCTCTCCACCAGCACTTTTCAAAGCCCAGGCCACATGTACAAAGGCAGCTGGCAACAGGATCCAAGCCTCTGCAGCAAGGCCATGGGATACCCCCAGCTGGGATCACCAAGAGATCCACAGACAATCCCGACACAGCAAAGCAGCCCTGAAGGCCCTCCCCTTGCCGAGGTMTCTGCCTATCAACCCACCCCACTTCAGAGCTCACTGAAAGCTCTGGTTTGCAGAACAAGACTGAGGAGCTGGGTCACAAAGGGGTGCAACACAACCAGGGGAGATGTCTATACCAGGCCCACAGACCCATGGAGGGGATGAGAGAGCACATCCCAGGCCAGCCCCGGTCCTGCAGCAGGGCTCCAGGCAGGTCCTCTCTCCATGAGCAAAGCAGTCCTACTCCAAGACCATGGCTCACAAGGGCTGCTGGGGATGGTGCTGATCAGTACCCACCAACATCATTACCTGGGCTCCACCTCCTGCCTCATGCTGTACAAAGTCCCACCTCCCTGCCATCCCAAAATGGGTCATCAGAGCAGGGCTTTTACTCCAGTCCTGAGCTCTTGAGCTCTCTCCAAAATCCCCTCCTAAACATAGCAACATTGAATGCATCACTTGTGGGTGCTCCTTCCTTTGGACTCTTCGAAAGACCACACGGGTCAGAGCCCCACAGCTGTGTCGTCTGGGCATAGCTGCTCTTTGTGGCACAGCATCACCCAGCTCCCGCTGCTACACCAGCGGTCCAGCTGCTTAATTCCCTGCCACCTTGTCCAACACAGCACCTATAGACCTGCCCCACATCCCATTTGCTTCTCAAGAGGAATATGAGGCCTCTTGAGGTGTGGGTCCACCCACAGGCTCCCTTTATCTTTACAGGGCTCTTTGGTCTGTCTCAACAGAGCTGATCTCCACAGGAATGCCAAGCCAGACTCCCAGCCTCACAGCAACCACAGGGCTCTTCCAGCACTACACCATGTGCCAGCCACATCCACAAGATGCAACCACACATGCCACAGCAGGCATCACACAGCCCACAAGCCAAGAGATGGAGTCCATGGGTCACCAAGCAGAAAGAAGGTGGAGAGCAGCCATGCTCACAAGACTTCCCATGTAGACGAGCTGCCCCAAGAGCAGCTTTCTTTGGGAGGTCAATTAGCAATTCTGCCAGGGAAGTTTWAGGAGCCACCTTGTGGACCAACCATCCCACGGGATGGGTCAGCTTCGGGAACCAACCTTTCAGGTTAGTTCCAATGCATAGAACCTGCCTCATCACAAGAGGCGCAGAGGGCTCATTTGCCTTTCCTTACGGGAAAAGCCAATAGCTCCAAGTGCTTACAAACATGTGCTGCCATGGACTGCAGATGCACATGGCAGCCTCTCTGCAACACTAGAAACAATGCCCAGGGGCTGTCTTTAGCACTACTGGCAGCACAGAGACATCAAACACTTTTGGGCTACTGCATGGCAAAGCTGCTGTTACTCCTACATGGGGCTACATGGAGCACAACGCCAGCCAGAGGAACTCCAGCTCACAGGAGGGTTTCTTTGCATGAAGTCCAACACTCGGCCCATGAGAACCAGTTCAACAGAGCTGCAGCAACTCACAGTACCCCAGCTGCACTCCACACAGCGCCCAGAAGCCACAGGACCAATATCAGCTCATCCCAGCCTTTTGGTGCCAGCACCTGCAGGCCCACACACCAGGCTGCAAAGTGGGGACAAGTGAGACAGACTGGCCACAGAAGCAGCACACATGGACAAAAAGACACCCAAAATTCCTGTTCCAAGACATGACTGGTATTATCCCAAGCCAAAAGGGGTCAGTGGCCAGCTCAACACCAGCAGGCACCATCACGGCACCCAGGGCAAAGGCCCACGAGTGACGTGGGCAAGCAAGAGTCGGCGCCTGCAGGGACATCAGGCAGAGAGCAGAAATGCTCTGTCCAGCCAAATGTTTCCATTCCCCATGTCCTCCCTGCCCCCTTCCAAAACAGCACCAAAGCAAGAGACAGCTGCAGCTTATAAGGAATGTGAGGGGCCCTGCCAGGGACTCTGCTGAGGGAAACCAGGCCTTATAAGGCCATGGAGGCAGAATCAAATTTTTATCAATGAGTGCAACAGCATGGAGACGCCCAGGGAGAGATAAGGGTGCCGGGAGCTGCCCAGGAGGTGGGCTGTGGGGGAACCTTGCTGCAAAGCCACCTGCCGCCCACCTCCCTGCCCCCTGGATCACTGCCAGGCAAGGCAAGGAGCCAGCCCCAGGAGGACACAGCAAGCTTTCCGGAGTTGCAGCTGAACACAAGTTCTATCCTTGGTCTTCCAAGGTCTGGAGACGTTCAGGGCTCTCAGCTTGGGCCCACACCACCCCAGGGTGCTTGGCCACGCTCCTGGGTGCAGGGCCATTACCTTGGTCTCCCCACTGCTGTCCGACTCCGACACCTGGTAGGTAAGGTCCGTCTCCTCAAAGCCTGTGGCGCTCATGCGTTGGTCAGTGGTGGGATCTGAGCGCGGTGGCGAGTCCGGGGAGTTGAGACACGTCTGAATCAGTGCTTTCCCCGTCTCACTGGTGATCATGGGCTGCAGCTTCCGTGTAGCAAAGGTATACACGTGGCCTGTCTCACTGGCCACCAGCAGCAGAACTTGGGTGCCTGTCAGCGTGGAAAGCTCGTACGCCTGCCAGAGCACAAGGGGAGAACCAAGGGGAGTCATGGAGAGCTGGGACAACACAAGACATGAGACCCCACCACACTCCTACTTGCGCTCATGCCACTTCTGGTCCCCCAATCGCTACTCAGGAAGCCATCCTGCCCTGCAGGCTGACACATCCCATTGCAAGTTCCCACCTCCCTTAGCACCCTCTTGGTGGAGGTGTATGCCAAGGGATCACAGGAAGAGTCTCCCYCGGCTACTTCCAGGACAGAGGTTGCCTCAATGCCGAGCATCCCACTTGCCTGCACGGGCGCCGCTGCTCTCATCCCCTGGGAACAGGCTGCCCGCGCTGCCTGGCAAGAGCAGCACACAGGGCTGCGGAGCCCACCCGCCCCCGGCTGCCCCCAATCCGCGCCGCAGGCCGGACACGGCTCTGCTGGGCAAGGATGCGGCCCCGCACACGGATGCTCCGAGCACCCGCGGGCCGGTAACACCGCCGGCTCCCTCCGTGCCCCGCGGCACCGCCGCAACCGATGGCCCCGCGGAGGAGGCGCACGGCGAAGCGGCGCGGGGCCGGGGAAGCCCCGGGCCCTTGGCCAGAGACCCCGCTGCCAGCGGCGCCGGCTCCGGGCCCGGCTGCCGGGAAGGCGCCGCCGTTTCCGGGCCTGTCCTGGGCGCCCGCCCCGTCCCGCCCGGCCCGG